CAGACTCAATAGCTAACTCCCTGGAAAAAAAAGAATATTGCTCAGCCGTTCTCTTCGAAGTGGCACAAGCGTTTGATAAGGTTTGGCATCCCGGCCTTCTGTACAAATTGAAAAAAATCTTAGCCCCTCCTTACTACTTATTCTTTAAATCTTATATCGAAGACCGTTACTTCACAACAAAGGTAAGCTGTGAAATTTCAACTTTAGCCCCATTAGCAGCAGGAGTCCCCCAAGGTGCCATTTCATCTCCCATTCTGTTTAACCTATACTCGGCAGACCAACCCACGACACATCATACTTCTGTTGCGGATTTCGCAGACGAAAAAATTATTTACACCTCACATGAAAACCCTTTAACTGTTGGTTATAACCTACAAACTCATTTAGATCACATGTCGTCCTGGTACACGAAATGGAAAATAAAAATTAATCACACTAAATCGTCTCATTTAACCTTTACCTTAAAACAAGGAGTTGTACCACCTATCACTTTAAATGGTCTTGTCATCCCAAAAGTTACTAGCTCTCGATATTTAGGCTTAATTCTGGACCAACGTTTAACCTGGGCAGACCACATTAAAAGCAAACGAGTTCTCTTAAACGCTAGACGTAAATCCCTCTCCTACTTAATCGGCAAACACTCAAAACTCAACATAAAAACTAAACTACTTTTATATAAAACTCTATTGATGCCTATTTGGACATATGGCATCCAGTTATGGGGAGCTGCCAAAAAATCCAATATAAACAAGATTCAAACCTTTCAGTCCATAACTCTTCGCATAATTACAAATGCTCCATTCTATGTTTCAAATCACACCCTACATACCGACCTAAGAATTAACACGGTAGATGAAACTGCAAAGCTACTATATAAACGATTTCGTTTACGCCTAACCAACCACCCAAATCCCTTAATATCAGCACTAAACTCTGACACCATTCCTGGCAATCCTCCGCGTAGATTAAAGAGAAGATGGTGTCGTGATCTAAACCAAAATTAACAGAGAGAAAAAAAAAAATAAAAAAAAAATAAAATAAACTATAAATTAAACTAACTTCAGTTATAAAGTGTTGCTATTGGGTGGCTTCTTTTTTCACGCGTCGCATGTCAAATTAATTAATGTATATCCGCATACATGCTTATTGTAAATTTAAATTACAGATTGTATGTTTTAAAATAAAGTTAAAAAAAAAAAAAAAAAAAAAATAACTAATAAATTAAATAAAAATAAACAGTTGAAAACACGCACGCGACTGATCGATAATACTGCTATCGGATCACTACAGTCGCAAGCCGCAACGACTATTTTTGACACGCTCGCGCTGATCGCACATTGGAAACCACGTTCGCAGTTTAAATATAGATCAGTCATTGCGACTAGTCGTTGCGTTCAGTCGTATGCGGCCAGCCGCAGATAGGAAACCGTACCTTTAGTTATATTAACTAATTATCTATTAATTGAACCATATACATTTTTTTTGTTTTATGGTCCTTTAATAATCATTTAATACATATTTAAAACAAGAATTAGGAAAAAATTACAAATGAGAAGTCAAAAAATAATTGAAAAAAATCATAAAGTTAAAATTAAGTTTGTTTATATGTAATTAATAAGGCCCAGATTTATATGCATTTACATGCTTTTTTTAACAGTCCAAAAAACAGCTAGATAGATAAAGTTTTCTTTATGTGCCACTACAACAATTTATCGTCAATAATGATCTCAATAACAAAAAACTATATAGTAATGGGCTGATGAAAGTCTTTTTATTTAGACGAGTGAATGTTCATAATGCAACTTTCATTATACATAATACATTTAAATTATTTTGAATAGGCATTTAAGGCTCAGTCAAACAGAACATGGCGGGTACAGTATTATCTATGATTGCATTATCGATGTTAAAAATAGGGCGGGCTGCCGCGGCGGAATCATGTCGACTGCCGTGGTTTGCGGTCTGGTTGTAATATTTTACAGAGAACGCGGCCAGTCACAAATTTTTCATTCTTCATTATCCATCACTATGGCAGATGAGACTGAAAAATTAATTGATTTGGTGCACAATTATCCATATTTATATGATACTAGTCACGAAGAGTATATAAATACTGTAAAAAAAAAACAGAGAAGTGGAATGAAATTTCCGGGATACTCAATATGCCAAGTAATCATAGTATAGTATTATAATAATATAGTAGTAATATAATATAATATGAGTATTATGTATTATATGTATAATATAAGTAATTTATAAAATGATAGATACTTAAATGTTATAATGAAATAAACAAGTAAAAATAGATTTTGTTTATTTATTTTTTATTTTTATCAGTACTTGTATTATATTAAATCAATAGTAATAATATAAAGTAGTATTGTACAAAAACGATTTTGAATGAAAAAACATAGTGTTTTATACCTAATAATAATTAGTTATTAAAGAATATATTATATTTAGCCCTTTTAGACCCAAGTTAACTTCTATCACAATAATTTTTTTTTTTTCATATTCCTTTTACTATGGACTCTAATAAAAATAAAACGTTAAAAAAAAATTTTTTTTGAATTTTTGACGGACTGAGGAGTATGTCCTCTATAAGTGACATTGGTTCACTATGGTAACAAAAAATATTAAAATATAAACAATTATTAATAAGTAGTGATGGGTCGAACTGTTCGAATCTCGAACCGAACCGAACCGAACCGAACCCTTGATGTTCGGTTCGGTTCGAAATTCGAACTCAGCATGAAAAAAATTCGAACCGAACTATCAAGCATCTCTTACTGTTCGAAAATCGAACTTAAAAATATTTGTCTCGAACCAGACTTATTGGCCACGATCGTTCAAACTTAAAAATAAAAATAAAAAATACAAATTGATAATGATTATTTAGAAATAATTAAACTATTGTCGATAGTCAGTTATAGCTGTAATGGCACGTCATGTATTATTTATAATAATAAATAATAATGTAAAATGTTATTGTTCGGTGTTCTTCGCCCGTTACACATCCACTCCCCATTGACCCATTGCTAAGTTGTTTATCACCCATTGAGGCCGGGTACCTACATTCATAATAATAATATGTAATTCTATTTTTATTTTTATCATATTTATTGTAGAAGTTAAAATCTATTTTAGGTAAACCCATGGTAATATTCCAATATTATTCTAAATTCTAATCATTCTATATTTGTGAATTATAGTTATTATTTTATTTATTTATTATATAATGTACTGTTGCATCGTCACATTGTACACAGTAGTCAGACAGTCACTACTCATTTATAATTTTATAAGCTACGAGACAACAAAATACGGTTCAGTGATTTTGATTTTCGGCATTCAACGTTAAAAGTGAGTAGATAATTATTCATAGTATATTAGCTATATTTTCATTATTACTTATTAATTATTAATTATTATTAATAAATTAATATAATGTAGGAGAATATTGATACATTTAAAACAATATTGAACAGATTTCATTAATTATCTTTGCAATACATGTTAATAATAATATAATTCCGTAAAATTGCATCACAATTAAATAATATTTAAATTTTAAATCATTGTTGATCAAATAATTATTGTTATTATAAATGGTATACTGACTAAACTGTTATAACAATAAAAAAATACATTAGATAGGTAATTGACTAATGTTGGTGTGATTTTTTAGAGCTCAAGGCAAAGATTTTTTTTAATTATAGCCTATAGGTACACCCCTTATATTAAAATACATTAATTTACAATAATATTATATAACATAATACAAAATATTTTGCCTATGTACAGATATTAATAAATAATAATTCAGTTTACCTAATTCATTAAATTATCAAATAAAAATATGTAATTATAAGTGTGATTTACTCAATGATTAACAATTATTTAGATATATGTATTTTATTAATTTATTTTTTTGTTTAATACTTTATGAAACTGTAATGAATATTTAATTATTAAAAATTGATCACTAAAATGTCTTTAGTTTTTGAGATAATATCAAATTACTAAAAATAACAAATCAATGATGAGTAAATACTAAATACTAAATAGCAAAATATTAGTTAATAATTAAAACTCACTGTACCTATATTACTTTTAATTTTAAATTTTAATATAATAATATTATCATTATTTTTCTGAAGTTTAGTCTATAACAAGCTATGAAAGTTAATACATTGTTAAAAACTTAAAATAGTTAAAATAATATTGTATAATAACAATAAGCAATTATTAAATCATTAAAATTTAGAATAGATACTTATAATACTTAATAGTCAATACTCATGTTTTAGGATGACCAATAAACCTAATGTGTTTGATTACTTGATGAAAACCAGGGCCAGCACCAGTAACACTGATAGTGAAGATATTGACAATCCTGATGACAGATCTATAATAAGTCATGGTCAAGAAGAAGAAACACCACATTATTCTCAACAAAATCTACTTTATAATTTTTTTATAAAAGTTAGTCCGGATACATCTAAGTGTGTTACTTGTAATAAAATCTTACAAACTCCGAAATCCACTACTACAACATTAAAAAGGTACCTTAAAACACATTCAAAACAATTTTTAATGTACCAAAAATCTTTGGAAGAAAAATTATTGAAGAAAAAAGAAAAATTGAAGAGACACAACTCAATATTGAAAATGCATTTAAGAAAAAATCAATTTTTCCACCAAATAGTTCTAATGCTTCTAAAATTACAAAAAAAATTGTAGAAATGATTGCCATAGACTATCAACCATATTCAATAGTGGAAGATCGTGGATTTAAAAATTTGATGGAAACTATTTAATACAGATACCAACTTCCAACAAGAAAATATTTGTCTACTAAAGAGATCCCTCAGCTTTATTTAAATCAAATATCCAAACTTAAAACAGAAATTGATACAGATTTAATTGATGTTCAATCAATTTCGTTTACCTTTGACATTTGGACAAGTTTGTCTCAGCAACCTTATATGTCACTCACCATGCATTATCTCACTAAACATTTTGAGCTGAAAAACAAAACTTTGGGCTGTACATATTTCCCAGGAGAACACACTGGGCAAACAATATTTCTAAAAATTAAAAATATGGTTTCAAAATGGGGCATAGATGCTGAAAACTCTAATACTCCAATCTACATTGTGACTGATAATGCTAGAAATATTAGTAATGGATTTACACTCTTCAATGAAAACTAACATTTGCATCACATTTTGTGTACAGCGCACACATTACAGTTAGCAATTAATGATGCAGTAAAAGAAAATAATATGGGAGATGTTTTGAAGAAATGTCGTTCTTTGGTCTCTCATTATAACCACAGTGTCAAATCATATGAACGATTGTATGACATCCAAACAAGATTAAATTTACCTCAGCATAAACTTATTCAATCTATCGATATCAGATGGAACAGTATATATTTAATGCTTGAGCGTATACTGGAACAAAAAAGTGCAATAACATTAGATTTACAAAATATTAAAAAAAATGGTTTTGTACCGAGAGATTGGAAATTAATTGAAGGTTATGTAGAAGTGCTAAAGCCCATTTTTGAAGCCACCAAGGAACTTTGTCAAGAAAAAATTCCTACTTTATCTATGGTTAACCCAATTTTATGTACTATAAAAACCAAATTGAAAAATTTCATTTCCAAAAATAATGATTTAATCAGTGGAATATCATTTGCAAGAAGTGTGCACAAATCAATTAATACAAGATTTCAAGTATGTAAAACTAATACTGTATACATGTTGGCTACAATTATAGATCCAAGATTCAAAATTGTTATGTTGGAACCACATGAAGTAGATGCAGCAAAGGAAATACTTAAAATAGAAGTTGAAGCTTTTAGAACACCACCATCCAATTTACAAATTATAAATGAAACAACAGAATATACATTGGAGCCAAGTAAATCTTCATTATGGGATATTCTTAATGAACGATCAGCCACTATAAAACATATGGAGGGCCAGATAGATTATGTTTTGAGAGAAGTGAGCTTAATTATTTATTTTTATGATAACTGAAATGAGACTAATTTAAAATAAAAATATTTTTTTTAGATACAGGAATATTTAAAACTACCACTGATTTCTCCAACATCAAATCCTTTAACTTGGTGGAGCTCTAACCAAACTACATTCCCAAATTTATTACCAGTTGCAATGAAATATCTAGGTATTCCTGCCACGTCTGTTTGCTCTGAGCGCATGTTCTCTAAAGCAGGACAAATTGTTACCAAGAGGAGACAGAGACTTAGTCCTGAATCAGTAGAAAAATTAGTATTTCTACATGATAATTTATAATTATTAATTAATGATATTTTATATACCTATATTTTAATAAATAATAAATACGTACTATGTATATTTCAATTTTAAATTTTATTTGTTTTCTTAATAATTAAATATTAAATTATTATTATTTATTGGGTACCTGTGTAAAAAATAATAATAATAAATCATCTAAATTTATTGTAAATAAAATTACATAAACTTAAAACTTTAAAAGTTTAAATGTAGAATAGGTAATACAAACATTTTAAATATAATAGTAATTAATAATGGGGATTGATTTAATTTGTAAGCTGGTACAATGTACATGATAAAAAGTATTGAGTTCGAGTTCGAGTTCGACTTAAAATGATTCTAGGTTCGGTTCGGTTTGGTAGAAAATATTATGGTTCGGTTCGGTTCGAGTTCGAAAAAATAATTTAAAGTTCGGTTCAGGTTCGGTTCGATTTAAAAAATCAGGGTTCGACCCATCACTATTAATAAGTATAATTTGCAATATAATATAATAAAAGAAATATATTTATACTTATAAAAACAAATCTTTGTGTGTATTACCTGTGATAAAAAAAAAAAATAAATAAATAATATTTTATACATTACCCATATTATATAAAAAAAATAATAAAAATAACTTTCGTTAACATTTTACTGATGAAAATTATAAAAACAATTACTTGTACCATCAAGACATAAGTGGATATTACATTTTATGCAAAATATGTACGTTTTTCTTTTACATCCAGGATTTTTGCATCTCGAAGTGTGGCCTTTTGTATCAAACTCAGGAAAATGATCAATTTTATCTTTTCGCACATCATCTGTTGGCTGACTGGAATCGACTTTTCGTACTTTGGGTATCGTTGAAACTTCATTATTATCTCCTGTATCTGCACGAGGTCTTTCCCTACGTTTTTTTGGTACATTTTGGGCTACTTTTATGAGATTTTCCGCAAGTGCCATTCGGAAATGTAGCAGATCTTTTCTTTTATTTTTATTTATGTTATAATGGTCAGCGTCTTTTTTATATTGTATCCAAACAGTTAACAACTATTAGATCGAAAGCATGTTCAATCATTCGTAGTGTCCATTTTTTTGAACATATACATGTTCGATAATAACTGATGAGTTGGTCTACCTTATCGACACCACCCATTGATGTATTGTATGCTGTTATTATTTCCGGCCTTTCAATATTGACGTACATTTTTAATTTTTTATCCCAACGTCTTACAGTGTCCAACTGTCCGGATCCTATATAATTGGAAACTAAGGTAACAGACCTTGTATCATACCATTTCACCATACATAAATTGCAATTTTCCATATTAGTTGAAATTTCAAAGGCTGTACCTCTCCCCATTTTGGCTAATTGTTTATCGGTTAATAAGGGTAGATCTGCGAATCTATTAGTATGAATAGTACCCACAGAGTATATTTGGTTGGCTTGAAACTGTTCAAATAAATTAAACGTTGAAAAAAAATTATAAAAAAAAATGAAATGCCTATTTTTTTCAAGGTGTTTTGTTAAATGTAAACTACACTAGCGTCTAGACCAAATTTTTTTTGTGTACTTTTATCTAGTTCAGTGGTAGCCCCTTGATAAAGCAGTATATTGTTAACCATACCACTTTCACCACATAGACAAAATGCTTTTATACCCCACGGACAGGGTTTACCTTTTACATATTGCTTCATTTGCAAATGTCCTTTATAGGGAACCATTTGTTCATCGACACTTAACCTTCTTTCAACCGGCAAACTATTACATTTTTTATTAATTGCGTCGTATAAAGGACGAACTTTTATAAATTTATCTATATTATTTTTTGGAATTTCTGTATTATCGATTAAATGAAAATTTCTACATAATGTGAAAAATCGATCTCTGGACATATTTTCAATAATAATATTCACAGCAGTAGCATTCTCCCAATATAAACGAACACGCGGATACTTTAAACAGCCCATTATCAAATGAATCCCAATGAACTTTTTTATTTCATTACAGTTGGTGGGTTTATATCTAGTTGGCGAATTTTGTATGGCATATAAATTTGTATAATACACAATTTTTTCAAATATATCATTATTCAAATATTCATAAAAATAATCAGTTATAGAAGGCATTTCTGGTGGATAGGATATAGAAATTGGATGCAAATGATATTTTGTTATTGCCAGATGAAGGAATACTTCTCAATACAAATGTGTCGCTACCGTATGTATTTGTGGTGGATAAAGCTCTTGCTTTAATCACAAATATTATGAAACCTTACTCGGGAGTACACGAAAAAGGAAATCCTAAAAGAATTTTCAACTACCGGCTTTCTCGAGCACGCCAAGTAATTGAAAATTTATTCGGAATTATGACCTCAGTTTTCCGAGTATTTAGAGGACCTATACTTCTAGAGACAGAAAAAGTAACTGAAATTACTATGACTTGCACGTTGTTACATAATTTCTTAAAAAGAAGTAAATCGTCAAGTTCTATATACACACCCCCAGGCATTTTCGATAACGAAGATAATGATGGAATTATAATCCCAGGATCTTGGAGGTCTGAACAAAATAATATGAGGTCGATGTTTCCATTACAAACAGTGGCAAGAAAATCCAGCCTCGATGCAAAAACGGTTAGAGACCAGTTCTCTAATTATTTTGTGACCAGTGGAAAAGTGCCATGGCAAGACCGAGCTTAAATGGAATTATTATTGCTTTATTTAAACAACAACAATAATAATAATTTATAAATATCCAATAATAAATATATGAAATTAATAAAATAAAGATGTTTAATAATAAATTATAGATGTTTTCATTATTAGAACCAAACTAAATCTTATTAAACTAATATAAATTTATATTACATGTATAATAGTTATTACGTCTATAATTTGGAAAAATATAAATAGGTACCTACACTGAAAATGAATCTAATGATATAAAAATAATATAATATAGTATATAATATGATATGATTTAGTATACATCGTATATTGTATCTTATTAATAAATAATTAAATAAACTTACCACGGTTGAAATGGTTTTTTTCGCCTCATAAATGCCATGTAAAAATGTCATGGATTCATAGGCAAACCAATCTGATTTGTACACGTCGTCTGTACCACTACCAGTACCCTTTCTTGCCCTAACTTTATTTAAAAGTTTTCGATACGTGGCCACATAAGTGAATCCTTTTTTTTTTTTATCTCGGTTATATCAGTTTTCACGCTAACATTATTACAAAAATATAAATTAAATAATTCAAAAAATATTTTATTTTAATTAAAAAAAATAGTTTGCCAAGTATTACCTTAGTTTGCTTTCAATTTGCTTCCAAGCATCGTGAATTAAACTGCGATTTTTATGATCAGGATGGCGAGGATTCCAAATCTGTGGTTGAGTTTCATATAGCTCTAAGAACTCTAGAACCTCGTCATTGGTCCACTCCATGTTTATTTTTTTTTAATTAAAAAAATTTAAAAAAAAAAACCAAAAAAACTTGAAAATTTTCTAGTACTTCAGGTATTTAAAGACTAGCCGAATCACACACCTGTAGGAACGGTGTTTAAACGCGAGGCTCGTTTCCTTTGGCGCGGACACAACGGACCGACAATTTTCGGATAGCCACGAGCCTAGACGAGCTATACCGAGCCTAGACGAGCAAAAGTGTTCCCACGGCGCGTGTAGTGTACCGAGCCAGCGTACTTGGCTCGAAGCTCGCCGAGCCACGCGCCGTGGGAACCCGCCTTTACATTTTGTTCATATACATTGCATTATACATAGACAACATTTAGTTGCGAAAAAAATGTCACCAGATTTGAATGAAGTATTGACTGAGGCAGTAAAAATAATTAATTTTATTAAATGTAATGCCTTAAATTCTAGATTATTTTTAATTTTATGTGAGGAAATGGGATCTGAACATTCTCATTTATTGATGCACGCAGAGGTTCGGTGGTTATCCCGTGGTAGGGTCCTGAATAGATTTGTTGAATTAAGAAAAGAAATTGAATTATTTTTAATTAAAAAGAAAAGCAATTACATTTCAATTATTCAAAATACTGAATGGATCGCAAAATGTATTTATTTATCTGATATTTTTAACTTAATAAATACCCTTAATTTAAGTTTACAAGGTCAACTCACAACAATTTTTACCATGTTAAATAAAGTTTAAGCATTTAAAAAAAAAATACAGTTGTGGATAACGCGTATTCAGGAAAGAAACTATGAGATGTTTGAATTTTTTTCATTATTTATAGAAACTAATGAGTTAGACATCGATAGTAATATCAAAACAACTATCGAAAATCATTTGCAATCATTGTATGATACGTTTGAAGATTATTATCCAGTGAATCAAAATCCACGAGACGGATATTTATGGGTACAAAATCCATTTTTAACAAACTCTCAACATAAATTGTGTTTAAAAGAACAAGAATTTTTGTTAGAGAAATCATCAGATATTGGTCTACATTCTAAATTTAAAACAATGTCTGTTACCAAATTTTGGATTGAACTCAAGGATGAGTATTACGTGCTTTTTGAAAAAGCAATGAAAATTCTTCTTCCATTTTCTTCGACATATCTGTGTGAAGCTGGATTTTCCGGAATGACCCACATAAAAACCAAAACTAGAAATAGGCTCGATGCCACACATAGTTTACGTATAACTTTGATAACTACAGTGGAACCAAGATTCGATAAAATTGTCAAAACAAAACAAGCACAACTTTCTCATTAAAATGTAATATTTTATTTATAAATATATTGTTAAAAAATAATTTAAAATGTAATATAGTAATAAGTATACAGTAAAGTAATAAAAATGAACATGTTTTGATTAATTTTGTGTATTCTTGTTGATGAACAAAAAAAAGGTCTTCGTACAATTAAGGTGGTCCGCGACCTATAAAATATTATCGAAGTGGTCCGGGGTAGTAAAAAGGTTGAGAACCACTGCTCTATAGGACTCACATTTAATAGTTCTTTTCAGAACGTTGTGTTGATTCTATTAAACAGTTCTTTTTAGGACTAATTACTTCAATTTTATTAAACGGTTCTTTTCAGAACTAATAAACATCACAATTTACTATTATTCTAAATTAATTTATTAATTTTAAATCCAGACTCCAATGTAATGTAATTTTGGTCTATCTTTACTCGCAATCGTTTTTCATAATGTGCAGATTTATTGTTAGTTTCTAAATTTAACATATTCAATATGTACCTACTCAATATTAAAATACAACTGCATTATTTTATTTATAAATAATAATAATAATATTTCATTAATTGTATTATTTATGTTGTTGCGATTTTATACTTTTAAAATTTGAACATAAAATAATTTATTTTATTTTATTTTATAAAAAACCACTAAAGGTACGGTTTCCAAGCTGCGGCTGGCCGCAACAACTCACGCAGTCCGACTGGTGTTATTTATAATTGCGAGCGTGGTTTCCAATATGCGATCGACGACTGCGTTTCATAAATAGTCGTTGCGGCGTGCGGCTCATAGTGTTCAGAAAGCAGTGCACTGCGTGAGTCGTGTTGCGTGCCATAATATTTTTATTTTTTTGCTCATAATAATCATGTCAAAATCTACATTTTCGTCGATCGATGATGAAGTTTTCGTCGAAGAAGTTGGGAAGCACCCTTAGTTGTTTGATAGCTCCCACGCTAAACATAAGGAAGCACCTTATAAGGATGAAATTTGGAACAGTATTTCATCCATAGTTGGAAAACCAAGTAAGTTCATACATATTAGTTGAATTTTACAAATTAAAAACGTAAATTCTAAGTGGGATATTGCAATGGAAGGTGTTAAATTTTAATTCAATGATATGATATAAATGTATACTTAATACGATTCAGAGCAGAGATGATTTGTTTTGTCAGCCTATAATATTACTAAGTTTATTTATTTGTACAATACTATTGTGATAAAAGTCATTTATTTTACTTTAGGCTTTAGTAATAAAGTAGGTAAAATTAATTTTAGTCAAGAATATTGCATTTGAAAATATCGTTTTGTGTATAAAATATAATTGTATAATTTAAAAGTTTCATGTTCCTACACATACCTACTACCTATTTTTAAATTAAAACAAAATAACTAAAATAATTATTCTTTGTTTTAATACCTATCTTATTTCGTAAAAATTTTAAATTAAAATCACTATAAAAAAAAACCCGAAAAAAACTGTGTATAGGTATATATTTTGATATTTTGGTAACGGTATGATATACTTACATTGAACTTTATATTAAGTTTTCAATTCTTATCTATAAAAGTTGAACATTTTATAAATTTTCAAATACAAAATAATTTTTAATTTTTAAATTTGATAAATGTTGTCAACATTTGAATTTAAATGTTAATAAAAAAAAATTGTGTCTCAGTATTGTTATTATTAATATTTTTATTTTATGATTAAATACCTAAACATTAAATTATATTATACTATAGCCGAAGATTGCAAAAAAAGATGGCGTAATATTCGCGATACATACATGAACATGAGGAATAGAAGGAAGCTAGGAACTGGATCAGCAGCTGCAAAAGCTAAAAAATAAATGGCCTTTAGCGAGACATGTAACATTTTTTGATAACGTAGAATATGAACGGAAGTAAGTACCAATATCAATTAAAATTAGTAGGTACTTGGAATATTAAATGTCCATGTTATAGCAAGTGATTACAGTAATACTTAATAAATAATAAAAATGTTTATATCAAATTTAATATTTCAGTACGACAACAAATGTATCCAGTGATCTCTATTCCACGTTATTGGAAGAATATGAAGGCGACTATATTGAAGAGCCAATCAATGAAGCAGATATAGTAGACAAAGAGGCCACACACGCGATAAAACGATCGAGAAGTAAACCAGAAAAGTTAGACTATATAAAAAGAGTAAAGGAACGAACAGCTATAATGAACTCTATACAAGCTCATAATCAAGCCATTTTAAATAGGGAAGCTGATGATGAAATAGATTTATTTTTTAAAAGTATAGCGATATCGGTGAAGAAACTATCAGCTAAAGGTAAAACAGAAGCTAAATTACAAATCCTGTCATTAGTATCAAAACTGGAACATGAATATTTAGAGCTGACTGCGCAACCCTCTCAAGTTTTGTTTCAAATGCCCTCTCGGCAAAGCCATAACCTTATGTCACTTTCTAGTTCACCATCGCCATGCCTTAGTTCTTCATCAAGTACTTCACAATCATTTGAACCATATGATATGTCGGCAGCGTATCATTATAATTATAATAATAACTAATATTTACCTATATAAAAATAAGTTTAAAATTATGTTTATTTTATTGTTTGAAAAAATACTAGGACAGGTATTTATCAACAAGTTGTTTTTAATTTTTTAATAATTATACAAGGACTGATATATTATTATACAAAAAAGGCACAATTTTAAATGTTATTAGTTATTACACATATAATGTTTTTTTTTTTTAATTTTATACTCATAAATTATTATTAAAAATATGAAAGAAATTTTGCAATTTAAATAAAAATCTGTTTTGTTAAATAACCTTATTTATTTATTTTTTTTTTTTTTTTTATGTTTTGGCACCGATCGGCAGGGGAGTACTGTTTGCTTTTGCGTCACACTCTTTACCCCTGTCGACCATCGTTTATTAAACAAAAACACATCATACATTGGGATGTGGTGGGCAAATCCCCCACTCACAGTCCCTTACAATATCGTATTAAAATTACTAATTACATTATTAACAGGGCTCTATCCCTGCAATTATGCTCTTCGAGCACAATACATTTACTTAATCTAAGGCTGCTGCCTGCACTGCCCTTTCGTCCGCCTCCTTCCTGGTCATGACTGATGTAATGAACTTGACGACTCAGTCCCATCTCTTCTTTGACTGCAGCATGCTCTCCACCATCCTTTCCGGGGTCAAGTCGATACCCAACTCCTCCTCCAAGATGCGCCTTGCCTGCCACCACCTGTCACATACGATAAATGTATGTTCGACATCATCGGTTGGGTGGTCGCAGTACATGCACACCACGTCATCCCTCTTCTTGAACCGCAACAAGTATTGGTTGAAGCATCCATGCCCCGTCAAAAATTGAGTGAGATGGTAGCTTAGTTGACCCCATCTTCTGTTTTTCCACACGTCAATTCGAGGTATTAGCCTGCGTGTCCAACTCCCGGTACCGTTCCGTTCCCATTCACCCTGCCAATTATTCATTGTTCTGTCTCTTGCTTCTATTTTCACCTCTGCTAGGTCTCTGCCATCTCTCCTTGCCTGCTCGATCTCAGAACTTTCAGCTGCGAGTAGATGAATGGGTGTTATGCATGCAACCACCATTATGGCCGAGTTAGACACCGTACAGTAGGCACTTGCGACCCTCAACGCCATCTTTCTCTGCGGAGATGATAATTTGTTACGGTTGACCTCGTGCTGAAGAGCGTCACACCAGATCGGTGCCGCATACAATAATTGTGAATGAACAACCGTCGTCAGCAATTTCCTCTTTGTGGCAGAGGGTCCTCCAACGTTAGGCATTAGGCGAGAGAGTGCCACAGCTGTTCTCGTGCCCTTGTCACTGGCCTCCTCTATAAGTTTTTTGTATCCCAGCACAGAGCTAAGCTGTATCCCGAGATATCTCATGTCGTCAGAAAGTGCTATATCTGTGTCGCCAATTTTGAACGACGGTTTATTATAGCCTCGTTTCGTAGTCAACATAATTGCAACAGATTTGCTGTTTGATAGCAACAAACCTTGTGCTTCCATCCAGGTAGAAACCAGTTGCAAGGAGTCATTCATGGCTTCCTCCAATAACCAAGTAGTATGCCCTGTGGCAACTACCGCCGCATCAAGCCATCAATAGAATATGTTCCAGAGTATTGGTCCGATGACCGAGCCCTGTGGTACTCCGGTAGTCACCAAACGTCGTCCACTCTCCGTTATAATACTTCGCCCATCAAAATACGACCTGATCATTTTATGAGATATGCTGGGAATCTTTTGTGTATGAGTGCAGCATCAATCTTCTCCCACGGTGCAGAGTTGAACGCATTAGCAACATCAAGCGAGGCTAGAGCACAAAGTTTGCGATTGTACAGTTGGCCACTACCAACTCTCTTAACAATGTTCATGACTGCCTCAATCGCCTGTGTGGTGGATCTACCTCTCATAAATCCGAACTGGTGCTCAGAAATTCCATCAGGTTGTTCCAGCAGATGCTGTGTTATCCTCGCCTTTAGTAACCTCTCAAACAGCTTTCCAATAGAGTTAATGAGGCACAACGGTCTATATGACGATGGTTGGTCAAGCGGTTTATCCCCTTTTCGGAGCAGAACCAGAGTTGCTGTTTTCCAACTTTTGAAGAATACACACTCGTTGAATGTATACAACAGCAGGTCTGGTCGTATCTGCACGATGACACGTAGCACTTCATCCGGCACGCCGTCTGGCCCCGGTGCCTTGCCTCTAGGCAAGCTACGCCCTGCTTCCGCAATTTCCTCCATAGTGAGCAAATTTAATTCCTGCATACTAGACGATATTTCAGGATATTCTGGTGGTCTACTTACTTGAAATAAATGATCGACTATAGCATCAAGTCGACCAGGGAGCTTGAGACCTGGAATCGAACGCCTGCCAACTAGCTTTTTAACCACCAGCCTGTAGGGTAAACCCCAAGGGTCGGTGTCGACCTGTTTGCATAGCTCTGCCCAACATCTCTCTTGGCTTCTCCTGATTTCTATTCTGAGCGCTTTTGATGACTCTCTCGCGTGACGATGTTCCTCTGTACACTCAGCCGGACCTTTCCGTTTTCGAGCCTTTTGATATTTTCCCCTAGCTTGAAAACTCGCTTTGCGGAGGGCAGCGATCTCCTCTGTCCACCAATGCACCGGTTTCGTGTGCCCATGGAATGATCTCCTGGGCATACAGCTATCGCAAGCTGATTCCAAGAAATTTGCCAACTCTACGTCCCCAAATGTCATCTGTCCTGCTGGGTAAGCAGCCCTGAGGAACGATGTTAGCTTCTCCTTGTCTAGGCGTCTCCATGACCACCCCTTGGTATTAGGCTGGGTCGGCTTCGCTGCACAGCTCAACTTAAAAACGATTGGGTGGTTGTCATTTGCCATATCGACCTGCAGAACTTGCCACAAATATAACAGCCTTGATACTCCCGTTGACGCGAAAGTAACGTTGATGTGGGAAGAATGGCCGCCCCGCTCGTATGTTGGTTCAGTACCTTGATTGATGACTATTAAGCCAATAGCACTAGCAAAATCTGTTAAGGCTTCACCTTTAGCACATGTCGAAGGGGAGCCCCAACTCGGTGAGTGGGCGTTGAAGTCACCCGCCACGATGTATTCGGTTGGCCCCTTACGAATGCTATCGCTTAGTCTGCCAAGGTACGCCCTGTATTCCTCCAGTGAGTGTTTTTTACTGGGTGAGAAGTAGCAGCTGTACACCCGGTATGACTGGATGTAAACCCACACGTAACCTTCACCTCGTCCGTTATTAGTTACCCCCACGTCCTTGGACAATAGAAGACAGCAGGATTGGTCAGTAATACCATACCAGCCGTCGCTGTTTGGGATCTTGTTGGGTTCACTAATAATGGCCACGTCTGCCTTTTGCTCGTACATCGTTTGCAACAACAGAGCTTGAGCTGCTTTTGCTCTGTTGAGGTTGGCCTGTAAGAAGCCTGTCATTTTGTGCCTTTCGTAGCCTCCTTGCCTTCGCTATTACCCGCAGTGAGTAACTTCGTGAATTCACTAACAGCAGATATAAGCGCACTGCAGCCGACTGCTTTGTGATCAGCTTCGCCGCAACATCTGCAGCAATTTGTCCTGTCAGGACCCTTGCAATCTTTGGCCATGTGCCCGTATGAAAGGCAGCGGAAACACCGGACTTTAGGATCGGCGACCCTGGTCCTGCAGCTCACCATGCCTATCCTTAGGCGTCCCGACGACAGTAGCCCGCGGGAGGACCCAGTAGGGAGGGACACCAGGGCCATCTGGGAGCCGCCGTACCTCTTCCTGAGGCTAACAACCTTCACGGAATCTCTCGAAGCACCTGTGGCAGTGACCACCGCTTCGAACACCTCCTCGGAGCTGGACCACTGGTCCAAGTCACGTACTTCCATTAATGTTTTCGGCTGCAGTGCTCTGACCCCCCACCGTAGCGCCAGCTGACCTAGCGACCTCCGTCCTCACCTCTTCGATCCTGGTCTGATCGCCACGCACTTCAATCAGAAGACCACCGGACTTGGCCTGCCGCATGCCAATGACACTGTCGCCAATTATGTCCGCATTTACACCGCCGCGAATCTTCCTGGCTAATTCGGGGAAGCCTTCCGCTGACACGTCGACAAGAATCGCCGTCGGTCGAGACCTAACCCGCTGAGCTGATGCACTGCGCTTCTCCACGACAGGCACTGCGGGAGTAGCAACAGCTGGTGTAGGTTTCTTCTTAGCCTTCTTTTTGACGACCTCCGTCTACGTGGGAGCTGCTGCGCCCACCACTGCTGCTGGGGCCTCTGGTCTAATTTCTGCCGCTTCAATTGCCCACCAGCACGGAGACTGCGTACCGGCCTTGGCTGTTGACGTTGGTGCCTTTGCAACAGGTTTCACAACCAGCTTAGATTCGTCCTCCTCTTTCTTTCTCATCAATTCTTTATTGACCTGTATTGTTACGAGATTGAACGCTTTGTTCAATTTATCTCTGGCGTCCTTCAAAGCTGCTACCACTTCAACAACCTCCTCTATGGCCTCCTTTCCTTGTACGCTATGCAGCCTCCCTGAAATAAGATTCAGATTGGCCGTCTTTGTGAACAGCAGCTTCAGCCCTCTGTCGTGCAATTTAAGCGTGTTGCCTAACGCCCTGACCGAAGAGGCCGTTGATTCTTCGGCTTGATCAACTGCGACAGCAGCCCCACTGGGACCGGCCGACTATTCCATGGCAAGTGGGGGGTCAGGCAACCCTTGCACCCTGCTGCTACCACTCGTGCGGACGCGATAGGGTCAAGACAGGTTTGCCCAATCCGGAGGTATCGAGAACCCGCCTCTGTGCCTTACGCCGCCTGACTACCGGTCCCCGGAGACCCGACAATCACCGTACAAATGGCTATTGAGCCGTGTACCTGCGTATAGCTACCTAAGATAACAATGGGCCAAGTGGCCTCAAAGGGGGGAAAATCCCTTTTCCGAAACCCTTCGGATTTTTCCCAAATTTGGTAGGGGGTTTGGGAGAAGTCCCAAAGAGCGCCTACCAAGTATGGGTGTGATCCCTTGACAGGGAGCCGAGATCCCTTGGAAGGGACCGTAACCTAGGTTAGGTTATATTTTTATTTTAACGGAAATTTTTTCTTTTCGCTTTATGATTATTATTCATACTACGTGTAGCGCACGATGGATCGTTTTTTTAATTAAGAAACGTAAATTAAGCGAAGAATTGCCTGATCCTTCTAATGCTCATAGAGTTGATGTTGAAGAATTGCCTGGTCCGAGTTTCAATCCTCCTAATGTTGAGGTGAGTGCGAGTAAAAATGCTAACGTACGATCAAAAAATATTATCCGACAATATCACAAAAGTTATTTATCATTTGGTTTCACGTCGAGTGGTGGAGAAATGCCTATACCTCAATGCCTCATGTGTAGTGAAAAATTATCTAATGAAAGTATGGTACCAAGTAAGCTGAAAAGGCACCTGCTTACAAAACATGGTTTTGCGTCTAAAAAGCCTCTAGATTTTTTCAAAAGGTTAGCCTCAGATCAAAACAGACAGGTTTCAAAGTTTATAAAACATTCAACTGTATCAGATAAGGCACAGGAAACTAGCTATGCTGTCGCGGAACTGATAGCAAAAAAAATGAAATCTCACACACAGCCGAGTCAACCATTTTACCAGCATGCTGTGAAATCGTTAAAATTTTGTTTGGTGAAGATTTTGAAAAAGAAGTTAGAAAAATTCCGCTATCTAATAACACTGTCCAAAGGCGTATTGAAGACATGTCTAAAGATGTTGAATTTCACGTGAATGAAAAACTTAAAGCAGCTGAATTGTTTGCCCTTCAATTAGATGAGTCTACAGATGTAACCGGAAAACCTCAGGTCATGACATTCGTAAGATTTATATGCGATAATGAGTTGATAGAACAATTTTTATTTTGTAAAGACCTTCCTGAAACTACAAGAGGACAAGACATTTTTAATTTGGTTAACAATTATTTTACCACTGCCAATATATCATGGAAGTTTTGTTTGAGTGTTTGTACAGATGGGTGCCCTTCAATGATTGGTCATTTAACAGGTTTTTTGGCATTAGTTAAAAAAGAAAACCCGGATATTATTTTCACTCACTGCTTCATACATAGAGAAGCTCTCGTTGCTAAATCTTTGATGCCTGAGCTCAATGAAGTATTGCAAACTGTTGTCAAAATGGTAAACTTCATTAAAAGTAAACCTTTGAAATCAAGATTATTTAATCAATTGTGTTCTGCTATGGATAGTGAGCACACCCAGCTTTTGTTTCACACAGAAGTAAGATGGCTATCTCATGGACGTGTCCTACAAAGATTTTATGAACTTAGAGAAGAGTTACTATTGCTTTTTACTTGTGAAGAATCAAAATATGCTGATTTTCTCAGTGATGATTCCTGGTGTGCCAAAGTAGCCTTTCTAGCAGATATATTTGAAAAACTGAATCACTTAAACAAGAGCATGCAAGGAAAGCAAAAGAACATTTTAACATCTACAGATAAGATCAGTTCTTTTCAACAGAAGTTGTTACTATGGATTTCAAAAATTGAAAAACAGACAAATTGGGATATGTTCGATCTTGTCAAGAATTGTCACGTTAATTCAGATCTAACAAACTTAATTTTAAAAAGTCTACATTTGCTTTATGAAAATATAAAAAAGTATTTTCCGTCTTTGGATGTCTCATCGATGGACTGGGTAAGAAATCCTTTCATTGACTCAGCATATGAGACTGCATTGTTTACCACTGATGAAGAAAGTGAATTGATTGATATAAAAAATGACCGTGGTCTTAAGCTACAGTACTCTAAATTAGTTGAAGATATTGCGAGAGAGTCAAAGTTAAAAAAAATCAAAATAAATGTAGATGTCTCATCTTTTTGGATAAACCTATTGCATGAGTATCCCAAGATTTCAAGAAAAGCTATGAATGCGATACTGCCTTCTTCTACATCCTATATTTGTGAAGCAGCATTCTCTTCAATGAATGCCATCAAAACTAAAAATCGATCACAACTGAAGAACTTGGAAGACGACATGAGAGTGTGCTTATCAACTATTCGACCGCGAAGGAACCTAATAATGAAGAGAAAACAGTCCCAAATTTCTCACTAAGATTAGGTTTTTTATAAAAATTGTAATATATCTTGTTTTTTCATTTCAATAAATTAAATATTTAGGATAATTGTAATAATCTTTTTTCTATCCTACCATTTTAAAATGTTTGATAGAAATACTATACTGATATACAACTACTTTGGTATTAATAATTAATATGATGAAAGTCTAGTATAAAAAAATGTGTATATATAAATAAGTCAGTGACAAGTGTGCCGCGGCTAAATATGAGTTGGGATTAGTGTGCCGTGAGGGAAAAAGGTTGGGAAACGCTGACCTAGGTGTACTGTACTACACACCGTTAGTCCCGACCCTCTGCGATCACTAGTTCCCCTATAACCGGGGAAGAAGTGTTTGCCTCCGTGGAGGAGGTAACCGTTGATTGTTAAATAACCTATCTATTTTCCTGCCATGAAACAGCTCCTTCGTGATTGAAAAAATATTTATATGAATTTCTGACGGCGAACTCATCCGTGTTTGCAAATCCACCTCCTCTTGCAATTTGTATCACATTGTTTGTGGGTATCAGTTCACTGGAATCAAATTCTTGAAATGCTCGTCCATTTTCTTCTAAATACGCATCTCATAGCATGTTATGTAAGCAACAAGCTACAATAATTAAGTCGTCACATGTTGATGGTTCGATGTTTATGGGTTGGTAAAATACTCTAAAAACCTGGCTTAATAGACCAAACGCGTTTTCAGTCACCCGCCGGGCACGACTCAATCGATAATTAAATATGGCTTTTGATTTATCATCTCTTGAAGCTTGTCTGGTATATGGTTTCATTATATTAGTATGAAGCCTAAATGCTTCATCCCCTACTATAACATGAGGTAAAACTTTTGTGGAGCCAGGTAATTTTTTTACTTCTGGGAAACCAAATGACCCATCTAATATCTTTTTACCCATAGTTGACTTTAAAAATATTCCGCTGTCACCTTCTCTGCCAAAGGAGCCAACATCAACAGCAATAAATTTGTAGTTAAAGAAAATGGATCCAGTGTTGTCGGGACTTCTTACTAGAACATGTTTCCCATCAATTGCCAAAATACAGTTTGGAAAGTTCCATTTGGTCCAAAATTCAGAAGTTTTAACATTGAAATCCACTATTGTTATATCAGGAAGAAATATAGGCGTTAAATGTTTCTTTAAAGTTAACAGGGTGATTTTGATTATTAAACTGATGTAATTATGCGAAATTCTAAATGCAAATGACAGTGATCTAAACGATTCTCCTGTTGCAAGATACCTACGAATTATATAATAAAATAAATATATTAATTTATATAAGAAATTAACACTTGATATTTAGAAAATAAGAAATTATAAAATATGTTCCAATGCATTTTTAATTCAAATAGTAATAAAGGCATTATAATTTAGGTAAATTTAACAATTACACGTATAACTTATAATTATTAGGTAATCTTTCCGTGTGTTGCGGGGTCGACCAGTTCTTCCAGGTTGCCCCGGAGACACTCAGCCCCTTAATGTAACCGCGGGGTTGTCCCGGATGACTCCGGGGGTCCTACCCGGGGCGCCGCCTCACCTCGGGCGCCATAATGAGTGACCGCTGCGGCCAGAGCCCGACGGATTATCGCCTGAGTCAAACCCTTCTACTAAGGCGGTACTCCTACAACCACCACGAGTCCTTCCTCAAGTGTGCTTTTCCCGGTGCGGGCGAGCGCGAGTCCTCGGTGAGTCCACGCGGTCGTGCGCCTCGGGTCCAGCACCCTCGGAACGTCGAGGCGCTATTAGCAAGCCGACTCGACGGGGCTTACTCTGAGTCCCGTGGTACAAGGTTTGAACCCGGCGTTCAGGCCCTCGCAACTGCCTTGTCCTCAAGCAGGTCGATCGGAGCACCGCTGTGTGTACCGCGACGACCCCTTTATAGCGCGTACGGTTTTGATCTTTATCGACAGATTGCCGTTTCTGCCGGTGCCTCTCTCGTATCAAGCCCCGAGCCGGCTGAATACGTGCACGTGCTTCGCTCGATGGGTGGTCTGGCCGCTCTAGTTCGAGCTCTCGGCCTAGGCAAGAATTTGTTCATAGGGAGTGAGGGCACCCAATTCGCCCTGCGAGATTTTCCGTCCATCCCGTCTACGAGGAGGTCGGGCATTCAGTCCGTCCCGCCGGGTATCCCGTTCCTCGCTCCCGGCTAGGCGGGTCTTAGTACGGAGGGCGTTCAACGATCCTGTGGGGGCGCCGTCTTAGGGCCCTTTTGATCCGGCTATCGGGTCCCGCTTCGCCTGCCACTATCCGGTACTTCGCAGGCTTTCGCCCCGCCGCTATCGGGGACAGAGACGGTCGTTTCGGCTAGGCCCACTCGGACGATTTGTGCCCGCGTAGATAGGGGAGACTGTCCCCACGTCTCTAACAGTGCGCCGTGCCCTGCACGTACGCCCTCTGGCCACACGCCCGACCGCTGTGGTTTTAAAATTAGGGGTCTGGGTCGTGCCCGCGGGGTCGCCCTACATCTTTACGTTCTAGGACTTCCCGGGAGAAGTTTTTGAACGCAAGGAACATGGCCTCCGTGGAGGTCATGGTATCGCAGTCGCACGGCCAGTCCACACCTTCCGCTTGCGCTGCTGCTGCGAGCTTGTTTCTTTCCTGGCTATATGCTGGGCAATCGTATAGCACATGCTCCGCGGTTTCCTCCGGAAGACCGCATCGGCAACGTGCCTCGCCTCGAAGGTTGAAACGACAGAGCGACGAATTGAAATCCAATGTCCGGTCACGAACTGCGAGATGTAGTGGTCCGGAACGAACCACGGCCTCTCGAGCCTGCGCCGGACGTCCGGGAACCAAATCGCCGTCCACCTACCTTTGTCACTGGCGACCCATCTCTCCTGCCAGAGGCGTATGGTAGTGTCGTAATACTGTTTCGCCTTTCCAGCAACTTCTGACGCCGACTTGTTTCCTCTCCTAACGGCGTTCTTGTCCCGTTCGATCTTAGCCAGCCGAACTAGTTCTAAGTCGAGGGGAGGTACTCCGGCTAGGACCTGGAGCGCCATCGTCGACGTGGTCTTGAACGCGCCCGTCATTGCCAGTAACGGGCGTCTTTGGGCGGTGTTAGCCCGTGTTCTATGCCGGTACTGCGCCATGCAGCGCTCGGCCCATACCGAGGCCGCATAACTCATACGCGGCAGGAACACCGATTTGTACAGGATCCTTGTCGTCCTTTCTTTAAGGCCCCAGCTAGCCTTAGCCACAGATATTAGTCGACTGAATAGCGCTACCGAGGACGCAGCCTTTTCCGCCAGATGGGAGCTAAACTTCCTTTGCGGGTCAAACGTGACCCCGAGGTATTTCGCCTCCGGGGTCATTTTTACCTTAGTCCCACCAAGTCGCAAGTCAAGGGGCTTACTTAGTTGGCCCTTGATCCACAAGGTCTGCGACTTGGCCGCCGAGAAGGTGAGTTTCCTGTCAGAGGCCCATCTAGACGCTATTTCTAGCAGCGCGTTCGCGCGTTCCGTGAGCTCCGGACGGTGTTTCCCGGAGATAAGTAGCGCGAGATCGTCCGCGTACGCGACTATCTCCGTCCCCGGGGGAAGATCGCCGGACAAGAGCGGGTTGACCGCGTACCTCCAGAGGTCGGGCCCGAACTCCGAGCCCTGCGGGCAGCCCTTTGTTAGGGTCGTCGAGAGTGTCATGTCTCCAATCGCCAAGTGGGCCTTTCGGCCGTCTAGGTAGCTCTTTGTCAGGGCGATCAACCCAGAGCCGCATTTAACCTGTTCAAGATCTTTCATTAGTTGCGCCCACCAGAGGCAGTCGAATGCCATGTATTGCTCATTCTGAGACTCAGTCGAGAAACTGTCTGTCTAACAGCGAAAGACCTCTTGAAAACAAATTCAACGGAGATAACGACTGGAGATCAAATGGAATTTATCAAACCGACAGTCATCAACTAATCAATGACCCATGCTCCTGACCAGGCTCACCTGCGACGAGAATTCACCTTGAACAGACTGAACCGGACACGGGAGATGCGGAGTCAATTATACAGATGGGGTTGAAAGACTCCTGCTTGACGACTGTGGCATTCACCCCAAACAATGGAACATAATAGACATTGCCCAATCCGAGCTTTCAAACCCATTGCCGACATCCACAACGTTTCGAATGCAGCTCTAACCTGCTGAGATCACTTGATATTCCCCTATAGAAAATACCTCACCACATAGAAGTT